CCTCCTCAGGCCCCCCAGTGCTAGGCAACCACGGGGCTGCTTTCTCTCTATGGACTTGCTTGTTCTGGACATTTCAGATACATGGAATCATACAGGATGTGGTCTTTCGTGGCTGGCTTCTTTCACTTGGCCCTTTGCCTCTTCTCTAGAAATGTGTCTGACTCATAATCACAGTGGAGGGGTTGTTGGTCCTGACTGTTTATTCAGTACCAGGTATTGAGGGCGCCCCTGCTATCCTAAGCCTAGAGCAGGTGCTGGGCCACGCAGCAAGGAACACAGCAGCCATGGGTGGTGTATTAGTTAGCTCTTGCTGTGTAACAAGTTACCTCCAAACTTGGCAGCTTAAAACAACAAACACTTACCATCACACAGTTTCCATGGGTCAGAATCTGGGCTGCAGGTCTATGTGGCTGAGACACCTGCCAAGGTTTTTGTGGGCAGGCTTCCGTGACTGACCTGTTGATGGCTAGATATCTCAATTCCTTGCCATGTGGGCTTTTTCATACAGAAGCTTGAGTGTCTTTCCAACATGGCCTCTGGCTTACCCCAGAGTTAAAGATGAGAGAAAGAGAGACAAAGACTCTCTTGGGCACAAGACTGAAGCCCCATGCTCTTTTATAACCTAATCTTAAAGGAGACCTGTCATCACTCTGCTATATTCTTTTGGTCACATAGACCAACCCTGCTAAAATGTGGGTGGGGGCTGTACAAAGGTGTGATACCAGGAGGGGCAAGTACCTGGAGACCGTTTCATGTGGAGACAGTCCTTATGAAAGCCAGGACCCAGCTGGCTCATTCAGGAAGGGCCTCCAGTGCTGCCTCTGAACGAGCTGCGGGTCAGCTCTGAGTCCTCTGGGTTCCTTGCTCTATTTCAGCCTCTTCCATCCTTCCCTACTCTGTATTTATAACTGGGGACCTTAACATGTAACCATATATAGCCTTGAACTTTGTTCTACCAGATCTAACCACTTCTGTTAGAGTAATTTTTACAAATTCTTTCTTTGGTTATTTGTGAATTCCATTTGCATTTCTATCAAATTGGTGAGCCAGGTTTTGAATTTCCTTTCATTCCCGTCATTAAGAAGGGTATTGACTAGAACAGGACCGCGACCCCTCCCAGTAGTATTGACCATTTCCCACCAGGGCACTGGGTAACACCATCCAACAGAGTCACCGGAGACCTCTTCTTTTCCAGGTGGTTCATTAGACTGTCTTGAGGGGCAGGATTGGGTCACGATAAAATAGGCATATCATGCATAAAAAAACTGAGCCGTGTGCCCTGTAGTGGTGGGTGATTCGTTGTTAGAAGCAGCCTTAGTTGTTGGTAAAGGTGGGTCCTGATCCCTGCTCTGCCACTTACTGTGTAGCTTTAGGTATGTCTTGGGCCTCAGTTTCCTTAAGGAGATGATGACAATAATTACTTTGTGGGATTGTTTTGAGGACTTAATAAGGTAATCAAAGTTCTAGGTATCTGTTGCTACATAAAAACCACATCAGACTTAGAGATTTAAAGCAACCACTGTTTTGCTTGTTGATGGTTCGCTTTTTAATTATTTCTGCGCTCCTACCACGTGTCCAGCCCCATGCTTTATGTTTTGCATCCATCTAGTCTTTAGGACACCTCCATGATTAGCAGACTTATTTTACAGATGAGGAAATTAAAGCATGGAAGTGTCAGGTGACTTACACAGGGTCCCCTAGCTGAGGCCACGTGGAGTGTCAGACCACATCGGGCTGGTCCAGAACCTGAGCTTTTAATCGTCTCATATCCAGATACCCTCCCCTCAGTGTTTGGCCTCTTGGGTTCTGTACTGCAGATGAAGGAACCGAGCAAGGCCAGTGAGGTCAAACCCTCTAGTTCATGGTCATCTAACTAGTCGATGAAACAGGAACGAGGACACAGGGACCCTTTCACCAGCCCATCCTTCCCCTGCAGGGACAGGGGCTCCTCAGATTCCAACAGCAAGATCTGTCTTGGCTACTCTGACTGTCAAGCAGTTCTTCCTCATGTCAGACCCACATCTTTCCTGATTTAATTTATGCTCATCTTCTTTGGCTGAATCTCTAAATAGGCCTTTTTCTAGTCTATTTGAGCAACAACAACTGTTTTATTATGTGCGTGGATTCCATGGGCCAGGAACACAGACAGGACTTGACAGGACAGCTTGGCCGAGCTCTGGGATGGTAATGTCAGGGGTCAGCAGGGGGGACTCTCAAAGGCCTGCCCATTACTTTTCGTGAGCGGATGGAGGGAGGGCTGGAATCACCTGGAGGGTTCTTCACTCATGTCTAGTTGCCTGGGCAGGGATGAATCAAAGGCTGGGCTCAGATGGGACTGTCAACCTGAGTGCCTACACATGGCTTCTCTTTCTGACTGGGGCCTCATTGCAGCATGGCAGCTTTGGGTGGTGGCACTTCTTTGATGCTCAGAACGTCAAGAGCAAGCTTTGGAGCTTGGTTACAACTGGCAGCTGTATGGCCCTTTATGACCTAAACTCCCAAGTCACTTAGCATCCCTTGTGCTATATTCTCTTGGTCAAGGAAGTCCCAAGTCCACACAGATTTAAGGGGAGGAGACATAGATGCCACCTCGATGAGAACTGGCTGCTATGTTTTAAAACCTTCATGGACGATGTAAAGCATTTAGCATGGTGCCTCCCATGTGGTATGAGCCAGAAAACGTTAGCTGCTGTCCCCTCTGCCATTGCTGCTGTCCGTTTTGGTATCTCTCGGGTACTGATCGCTACGGATCTGACTGTGTGACTCAGGCAAGCCCCCTGCCCCCCCTGCCCCCCACCACCGTCTTAATTAAATTATCTTTAAGCTGCAGCTCTGTAAATATATTTGATCTAATATTGCCAATTCATTCTTTTTACCTTCTTCAAGTTTAGACCCAACTTTTAAAAATGTCCTAGCCTTAGTTGAATTTTCTTATTCTCAACGGCTTCACAGACACATCTAGAGCTTTCCCAAGGAGATTCCAGAAAATGGGTTTCGCGAGTCCCCAGGGCATCTTTCATGCGCCTTGATGTGTGATTCACACAATCCCCTGTTGTTCTGGCACCCAATTTATCCCCTTACTCTAATTTTCTTGGAATAAAAATTCACAATTGACCTTTTCCACAAACAAAGGAATAGCTCTTCTTCTCTAGAATGTATAAAAAAGTCTAAGACATTGTGTCCTCCCACGAGGATCACATGGGAACGCGAAGCCCAAGACTCACAGGAAATGGTGGTGATGAAATGCAGCGTATAACCAGGTGCCCCACCGCCAGGCGGGGCTAGAAGCTGTCCAATCGATCCCACCTCTGCGAGCCAAGTCAGCGCTGTGTGCTGGTTCTTCTTTTCACAAAGGAGGAGACTGCTCTGGAGAGATTAGGAGACTCATCCAAATCCAGGTCTAACTCCAGGGCTGGTGCTCCTACCTTTCGCCTGGAGATTCCCTGCAACCACGAATACTTTGGGCATTGCATTGCAGACGTGAGCATCATTTTTTAAATCTGCAACCTCCCAGGTCACAAACTCTGGAAGCCTCAGTTAAGGCAGACTTTTTTGGTCTTAGCTTGGGGAATTGGCAAAAAAAAAAAAAAAAAAGACAGAAGCTCCAGATTCTAATTAACTTTGCTTTTTTAACTACAGATGAGCCATTTTTTGAGTTAACTGGGGGTGAGAGTCTCCGAGATTAGTGGAAATCTGTAAAGATGGCAGGGGAGCAGGAACTAGACATTCTTGTAATTAGGTTCCCTCATCCTTGTGCCTTGAGAGGAAAAAGATCAGGGGAACAAAAGGATGGAGGATTATGTGAATAACTAGGGAAACTGTCTCCCCTTCTGAGGACGATTATTTTCCAGAGTCCTCCTGTGCCTAATAGAACTTAAAACCAGCATTTAACTGGTTTCATTTTGGTTCTTGTTAGTTTCATCTTATTTTTTTCCCAACTGGAGCCTTCCTAGTCTTGTCCCTACTCAGCTTCTTATCTGACCACACCTATGAATGCTAGGGAATAGAAATCATTTTCCTTCTACCCTTCTAAGTTCTTGGCTGAGGGCACCTCCCTCCACCCTGTAATAAAAAGATTAACAGGAGAAAAACAAATATAAATATATATGTACATACAGAAGCCCCCCCCCAATATGAAGCTCCAAAATATGAAACTCAAAGAAGTCACCAGAGCAGGAAGCTTTTATACCTTTTAGACAATTAATTTGTGAAGAATTGACAAGACAAAGGGGACTGGGCTAGGGGTAGTAAGTTAGTGAGGAAGTACCAGATTTGCTTGTACAGCCTCCTTGGCTCCAAGTTCCCTGTCACTGGTAGTCAGGATGCCTCCCACCTTCTGGTGTAAGGAAGGTACCTTTCACGTGGGAGATTTATCTCCTGCTTTTAGGGGATAGAGAAGTTCAGAGTGTCCTTTGTGCACTGGCTGTTTCTCAACTACTTTTATTCAAAAGAATCAATATGCCAAAGTGGCGAATTTGGGGTTGAGATATCCTGAGCCCCTGGCAATGCTGAGTGCCAAGTGTGAGTGGGAAGAGCCAAGCAGAATCCCAGGAATGCTGGCCGTTGGGATGTCACTGCGCAGCCAAGAGAAGCTGATGTTGCATCAGCGAGCTTACCTGCAAGTGGAAGGAGAGACAGAAGTGGGAGTGATGAATGGAGCAAATAAACTTCCCCCCTCCAGGCCTGTTGCCTGTAACAAGGGCTCTCCTGGGTTCGGGAGCAAAGGCTCATCTGATTTCTTGCCTCAAGCGTGGGAACTTATAAAGAGGAGCCACTCCTTTTGGCAACAGCTAGTAGAGGAGAGGGAATCAAATTTCCCTATTTATTTTTTTCTAACAGCTGTGAAACTATTTCTCCACCAAACGAATCTATTGATCCCCTCACTTGTATTTCAGAAAGGACTGAATATACCTGAGCTTGGCACGTGGAAATCAGGAGACTTTGATTTTCCTTCTCCCTCTGCCACTAATTAGTTGTGTGACGTTGAGCAGGCCACTGCATCTCTTTGTGTCTGTTTCCCGTCTGTGAGAGCAAGCACTTCTTCAGTGTTTAGTGTACACACCAGGCATTGTTCTCAGAGACTTTCCATGTATCTGGATTAATTCACATAATTTGCTCCCAATTTATTACACTATATACCTTTCCAAAATTTGTCAGTGCAGTTCCAGGACATCGATGACTACAGGTGGGATGTTTTTTGTGGCTTTTGCCATTTCAGAGAAACTTGGGTTTTTCTTTTGGCTGCAGAGAAAAATAATACCCCAATTTGAACACTGCTGATGGGGACCTGTCTTTGAGCTTGACTTTCAATCAGACCCAGGCTGGATAGAAAGGGCCCCTGGGAAGAAGGGCAGACACCTATGGAGGTGGGAACCGCCAAAGCCTGTCTGCCCCTTGGAAAATCTCTTTGGTAGCCTGGCCCTGTGGGGTTGTTATCCTTTCCAGGTTTGTTAGGGATAACACCCCTCTCCAGTCAGAGTGGCTGTCAGAGAACCACTCCCAGCCTCTGTCTGCCCATCCAGGGTCCAGCTGTGAACTTATTTCTCATCCTGGGGAAACCTTAGTCCTGTGGGTCAAGGGCGGTCCTGTCCCTCCACCCCTACCCTGGGGCTGAGTCCGGGTCGGAGCAGCCGGGGGACAGTCTTCTGCTGCAGGCTCCCCTCCCTGGGAGTGAAGGGGAGGGTGGAGGAAGCCAGCGGGTGGAGCCCGGGTTGGGTGCAGGGCGGTCCCTGCCCAGTGGCCCAGGCTCCGCCTTCTCCGGAGACTGTCAGCCAAGTGCACAGCCGGCTGCGCTGTGTGCGTAGACAGTGAGCTTCAGTGTGTATCTGTGGTCTCGGCGTCTGTGTCATTGTGTGTCTTTACATACAGTAATTGTGTGTGTGTTTGGTCTCTTGTGACTTAGTGTGCATCACTGCGTGTGTTGTTTTACTTAACTGTGCTCGTGTGTGTGTGTGTGTGTGTGTGTGTGTGTGTGTGAACGTGCATGAAAGTGTATGTCTTTGTATGTCTGTGTGACGTCTGGGAACGGGATCCTCCTATTCTGAACCCCCTTTCTCTTCTTGAGATGTCTGGGGTGCCCGGATCCCTGGCCCTGACAGGAGTGCTGGGGCCGGGGACGCAGAGGTCTTCGAGGTCCCGGGACCTCCTTCGACCCGGACGCCTGGTCCGCGCATCCCAAGCTTCTTCAAGATTCCCGGGAGCTTCTAGCCGAGTTTTTCTCCCTCTCTTCGCAGGCTTTCGGTGACGCTGGTGGGGAGGGAGGCTCCTCCGGCTAGGGTGGGGGCCCTTGCCTTGGGCACTTCACCTGAAACACTGGATGGAGGTGGTATGGAGACAGGTGGAGCAGTTAGGACCACGGAGAGCTGTTCCTCACATCACTTTCTTCCGCCCCACGTCTGTCCCCACCCCCACCCCCGCCCCGGTGTTACACTGTCAGTCACTCTGAATCTCACATTTCCCTCCTCTCGCGCTCCACTGTGGCAAAGGTTGAAGTCCTTGGCTGTGGACCCGAAAGAACATTCGAGGAGGCCTGGGACATTGCAGGACAAGAAGCATGTAAGCCCGTTACCAAACCAAAGTGGTTCCAAAGCTAGTTCTGCCGCTAAGAGGCTGTGGGATTGAGTGCGGATGTGTGTTTAAGTTCCTTGCCCTCTAATCTTCAGCTTTATTTACAACCCGAGGGAGAACAATACCTACCTTACAATGTGATGCCTGGATAGCAACTAGAGCACATGGGCAAAGTGCAGGGGGATTACCGCTCTATTGCCCGCACGCTCTGCCAGCACGCATAGTTCATTGTGATGAATAGGTGTAACGTGAAAGTCCCGGGTTAACCCACTTATTTTCTAAATCTGACATGTAAGGGGAACTCCGATGAAAAGGGAGGCCCAGCGGCCAGAACACAGCACGCACATTGGATTTGAGCACAGAGCCCGGGATGGCCAGTTACTGGGGTGGCCACAGTCCTCGACTAGTGACACCGGTCCAGTGTCCTGCCCTTTCTGGTGATTCCCTGGGAACCCGGAGCGGAAAGCAGTTTGGCAGACGACCAGCCCTCGCTCACTTTGCAAAAGGCATTTTCTATCCTCTGGTTAACAAAGCAGAAGTGGGTCCAGGGCCAGCGTGTGCAAGCGGTCGGAGGTCCAGCGGAGTCTCGCGGCTCCCGGCTCCCGGCGCAAACCCAAGCAGCCAGCCCAGGACAGCGGGGATCGGGGAGGATTTGTAGCGGCGTCCTCGAAGCGCGGATCGGACGCCTGCTCTCCAGAGCTTCGCCTGGCTGGGGCTGTGAGAATTTGCCT